GCCAAACACGTTTTTCTGATTTTCATTTCGCTGCTGAAGAACATTGCCAAGAAGCAAAGAAACTAAGAGGTAACAAAAATAGTCCTGTAGCTCAGTGGTTAGAGCACTCGCCTCGCAAGTGAGAGGACCTGGGTTCAATTTCTGGCAGGGAGAAACGGTGGGCAAGTTTCCTTCCTTGCCTCTGTTTACAACAACAACAACAAGATTCCATTTATAGAGCGCCTTTCACGTCAGGAGGACGTCCCAAGGCGCTGCACAGTTGGGTCATGACCCGAGCAGGGGGGAAATGGTCAGGGTGAGGGGAGGGAAGGGAGGGAGAGAGGAGGGGGGAAATGGTCAGGGTGAGGGGAGGGAAGGGAGGGAGCGAGGAGGAGGAGGAAGAGAGTCGAGAGGGGAGCTGAAGGCACGGTCAAAGAGTTTACCTAGCAGTAAGTAGGAACCTGGTTGTTAGTCGATTGGCGGATTGCTTTTCCGGGTGTAATAATTCCTTCAAAATAAATAAAAATCCATGACTGGTGTGTACAATTGGCTGCTGCGTTTCACCCACAAAATATAACATCAATTCACTTTACAGTATATTCTGTGAAGCGCTTTGAGACGTCTCAATGTGATAAAGTGCTGTATCAAATGCAAGGATTATTATTACTGAGACTGTAATCTAGATCTTTTATCAATCTACCCAATACATTTCCATACTGATAGCTCATAGGGATACTACCATCAAGAACATATTGCTTTGTTTTATGTATATTAATCTCAGTTAACAAGAGGACATTGCAATTGTTATGAAACTATTGGCGAACTGTTTCGGAGAGAGTGGCAGTTCAGATTCCAACATGGAGCTGCAGTGCCTCCAGTGTGTGTGTTTTTGCAGTTAATATCATGCTCACCGCAAGTTGGTGTTTGTCATACCCGGAGAATGAGATAGCTTTCCACTTTTGTTACTCGGTGCGGTTTATCACGCACTACCGACAGCTAAAAAGAGAAAACCTCTCATTAGGTGCTTATGATAAGATAAAAAACGGCTAAAAGATTGCTATTCTTAGTGAATAGCTTAAAATAGATCCAGTTTCAGCATTACGCATTATCAAGGTGTACACTGCAGAAGACAGAAGAAGAATCTCCCACTAATATATCACATCTCACCTATTAATGAGCTGCAGAGATTGCAAGTCCTTTCCCCCAAAAGGGCACTTTCTCATTAAACATAAACAATTTTCTGAAGTTCCAAACATTTTTTCCCCAAGGACTTATCTCTGTTCCAGGCATTCCTGACAGGATTGCAGCCACTTCTGTTTGCAGATGATATTGTGCTGCTGGTGGAATCACTTGGGTTGTGTGATCTTGTGACTGCAGTAGTACAGATTTTTGTTTAAGCAAATGTCAGGCAAAAGATAAACATATACGGTGCTGAGTAATACGTAATAACTCACAAATGCTACAGATGTGAGTGAATTATATAGAACACCTTGCAATTAAAAAAAGCACAATAACGTTCCACTACCGGTGCCATATTATTCTAGATAATAGACACACGTCGCTCTATGTAGAAGTCAAGTTATTCAAATTAATTAGTCGTAGAATTGCATTGAACTGTGTTTATCCGTAAACACTGACAGTAGCGAGTTCCCGCAGTAATAAAGCTTTGGTAACTATTTCTGCTGGGAATTCTGTTTTCAACCGTCAGTGCTCAGAAGGAGACTCAAGATTTGTGAGGCACGACAGAATTGTTATTTTAAAGGCTGTCACAGTATGTGAAAGCAACAGTAGCCTATTGCATAACAAATACATATTTGGTTGTGCAATCATCATTCTTGCTGCTTTCTTTGCCAATTAAGAAACAGCTCAGTCCCAGATGGAATTGCTAGTGAATTATGCTAAAAATACTCCCAAACATTAAACTTTCCATCGACCATCGTCATAAGTTAATGAAACATTTGAGCCGTGTTTGTCTTGATCCTGACATAAAATTAATTGAGATATGCACATGGTTATAAAATGATAAGATTTGCAATATGGGGCTCTGCGTAATGCCTCATGGATTTTGGCGTTTTGTGGGAGTAACCTTGAGCAATTTCCCATGGAAATGGTTCCCAAGTCACAGAAAAAATATACTTTCATGCAGTGTTAATCTACAGCTGAGAAAATAATCCTTCCAAACACTGTGTTCTGGCAAACAAAACGAAAAATATGAAGAGGATTCACCAGAGAATTAAATGTGAACTTGACAAAATTAATTACTGTTTATTTTCATTTCAGTTTTTTTAAAAAAAAAGAGTTATTTGTGTCCAGAAGCCGGAATTCAGACCGAGCCAGATCGCGTTCGACATCAACAATTTTGTTTCCATGTTTTCTTTCATTAAGTTAATGTCTACAATGGTTTGAATTAAGTTCTATAAAATTGAAAGCTAGACTGAAACTAATCACAGAACAAACACAATTCCACAAATAAAATATTCTGATGTAATTGATGAAAGCATTTTCAGAACAGATCATAGAAAGAAACATCAGTTTACTTGAGGAGGTTACAGACTTGGTGAATAGGAATGAGAATATGATTATTTAACTGGACCAGAAATACAATTTGATACAATTACACATTTTCTAATTATTCTTTAAATTAGTGCCAACGTAATTAGTGTTGGCATTAACAATCACAGTGCAATTAGCACTGTTTAATTTTGGGGGGGTTTTACTAAATGATCCCAGACTGAATTGGTAGAAGAAAGGCGAAATTCAGACTCTTCCGAGCTCAGAATATTTTATCCAAAATCTTGGCCTCTGTGAAGATCGATTGCAGCTGGACACGTTTTTGGACAGTCATCGTGTATTAAACGCCCATCTATTGTGCAAACAGCAATGAACCAGCAAATACAGTAGTTCTGAGAATGTGGTTCCAGCAGCTATTGCAGCACCTCAGTGTGCAGAATGGTTTGTGCCAAGTGTACTGTATAACAGTATACATGGTCTTTAAGCGCTCTGAGACGCTATCCTGCGAGGAGGGCGCTATACAATTGCAAGTTGCTGTTGTTATAACTTGTGTTGAAGAATGCAGTCTACGACAGCTGAGTTCAGAATCTGTAGCACTGAGTCATGAACACGACTGATTACTCACAGGACGACTAGGTTTTACGGTCAGTGTACTACCCTTCCCGACCAATTGGTTCTAGCAACAACAATTTGCATTTATATAGCACTCTTCACGCAGGGTAGCGTCCCAGAGCACTTAAAGCAATGCCTATCCCCCACTTCTATCTGGCATCTGTTGTAAGGAACAGTTTTTTCAGTCGCTAATTACCCTCCAGATAAAATATTTCCCAGTCTACATCCTGAAATTAACCTTTGCAACTCCAAACTCATTTCCTCTTGTTCTGCTGCCTTGGGCATCTTAAAGTTTTTGAATTCTTTAAAAAAAATGTATACATATAAGGTAACCTCTGAGATGTTGCTTTTCAAGACTGAAGAGCTTTATCTTGTCTAATAGTTGCTCATAGGTTCATAGCTCATTCCACTAATATTGGGGATCTGCTTCATTGCTTCATCATCTACCCAGTTTCTCGGACTTGGGCTGCCTGCCCACCCCACCAGATGTTACAGTGACCAGAACTGTAAACAGGGACTTGACATGCAGCTTGACCACAACGTTCAATGGCTTGAGTGCAACACCTGCTATCAACTAACTTGGCAAGATAGCCCACTACCCTGTTAACCCCATTTATTGCTGCCCCTCACTGTTTTGTCATGGCGAGTGATGAATCATCTAACATCCCTAGGACTCTTTCAGCCGTGAACAAGTTCTAGCCCCTCCAGGGAGCACACGTGTTTCCTATTTTTATTTCCTGTAATGATTCTCAAACCACCACACTGGTGTATTATGTAACTCCTTCAATCTCAGCTCCCAATACTCCAGACCCGTTACCTGCCCAGAATCCTTTATACTTCCTACTTGTTTCTCCTTGAAACTAACAGGAAGTATAAAGTAGTCGATCCATCAATCGACTGCTGTTTACTTCTTAAAGGGGATATCCTTTACTTCTCTCCTCCAGTCTTTTTTTCCCACCTGCAGGCTTGTTCCTTGTTCCACCATGATTCTTTCCAATTTGGTTTGCCTTACTTCCATATTCGTTTTGTCTTCTTCTTCATAATAATAATCCTTGCATTTGATATAGTGCCTTACCTTGTCGTTGACACGTCTCAAAGAGCTTCACAGAATATACTGTAATTAGACTGGATATTTTGTGGGTGAAACGCGGCAGTCAATTGCTCACAGGAGTGACCCACAAACAGGTATGAATGGATTGAGTGACCAAATTATTATTTACATTTTTTTTGGAAGGGATTATTACCCCTAAAAAGCGATCTACTATCGACTAACAACCGGGTTCCTACTTGCTGCTAGGTTAAGAAGAGCCGTGTGGAGTAAGGAAACTTGCCTAAAGTTTCAGGACTCCATTATACGTAAAGTGGTGTGAATGTGTGTTCTGTGGGCAATATTGTTAGCAAGTTTTTATCAGTCTTCATCAATTGTTATGCAATTAAGATACCTTATTAAATGACAAAGTTATTTAATCCCAATAACTGAATTCACATTTTGTTTCCAATGCCTTAGAGATGTTCTGTATGGTGTATACAAGGAATATGCAGTGAACTCAAATGAGGGGAACCTTCGAAAGTGACCTGCTCTGTTTTCTTTAATACATTTCTGGATTCTAGTTAACGTTCCTCCTCATGCTGAAGTGCCATAATGATGTGCAAAGACTAAACATTCTTTAATATATTTTCTGTTTAGCAAAATGTTAGCAATCTTGTATTTGCCTAGGAAGTAACGTCTTATTTTAATATCTTGTTCTAAAATGAATGACAAATGTATGTCTGCAGTATCATAATGTTTGATCTAATTCACATAACAGCGTACAGCGATTTTCATTCTTCTGTACGTAGCACTTCAACACACAGTACATTCACTCTCTGCATCAATCAGAAAAAAAACAAGCCAGTGCTTAATAAGAAAGAGCATTATTTATTTTCTGTGCACATTCTGTTAAAAACATCGACAATAACAAAGTAAGTGTTAATGAGCTCAATCTCTGGCCCTATTCCCAATTTTGTACAGTTTCACTGCAGTTTTCTCAATTTGTGAACAATATCACTTACAAACATCCTTTGAAAAATCCGGTACAAATGGGAGATGAAACACTTTGTTGCTTCCAAAATGTTCCTACCATCTTCGTTCCATTCACAGCGGGTAATTGAGAACCACATCCTGCTTTGCGAGTTCCAGCAACATAGGATCATCGAAAAATTTGCTGATACTGACATCTTCACTAAGGCCCTGTTGGACAAAGGCAGAGCAGCAATATTTAATGTATCTATATTCCTACATTTAATCTTTTTGTTACTGCCTACATTGAAACAACTAGACAGAATAATAATAATCCTTGCATTTGATGTAGCGCCTTTGAGACATTTCAAAGCGCTTCACAGGATATAAGCTGAATTGGCTATATTTTGTGAGCGAAACGCGGCAGCACAGCAGTGTCCCACAAACTGAATATTATGTTTTGCCCACAAATATACGGTAAATTCACTTTATAGTATTTAGTGAAACGCTTTGAGACGTCAAGAAGACATGAAAAACGCTATATCAAATGAAAGGATTATTATTATGTCAGGAACTCTGCATCAATCACCTGATTACTCTTAAAGCCAGCGCAGGGATCCAAGTTCCTTTGTTCTCTGGGTGTAGCTAAATGAGATGATTATTCCCATACTGAGCAAAGAATCAATTTCACACCACTGGGGCCACTGTTCACCCCCAGATACTCTCAGCATGCCAAAGGGTTATTGTGCACACAACGATTACTGTGCACTAAACAGTTACTGCAGCCAATTGACAATTCCAACAGAGACTTAATCTGTCAGATATTCTATTTCACGTTAACATCTTTACCTAAACCTGAAAATGAATATCAATCCACTCTTCTGGTTACCCAAATGTAAATGGCACTTGTTCTTCAACCTTAACAAGCACTCAAGTCAAAGTGTTCTTACCTTTCGCCTCCTCGTTTTAATCATGAACTCCCTCGCCAGGTGAGGTGCTGGCTGTGGCTCTAGAGGTCTGATGACAATGCTCTTGTCTAAAGGATCGCCAGGTACAATCTGTACATACAGAAACAACAAGGTCATTACATCAGTCTGCGCAAATTTGGGATTTCTGCAGCTTGGTTTGAAATTATAATTATGATTTCTAATTATGATTTCTAATTGAAGTTTTACTTCAATTAAAATGTGAGAATCCTGAATCCTTAAGTTACTTGCACTGCTCTAGTTAATGAGGCAGCTAACACAAGTAATCATCAATCCAGCAACTGATGTTCACCATTGAAAATGCATGCTGACAAAAAATTCCGATTCAGAGGGTTATCAAGAATATTTTTTTCCCCAAAATTTGTTTTTGTCAAATTTGAGTATTCAATTAACAGAATCTCACTGTATTAAGGGAAACGGCGCAGAATAAGGATCTATCTAAAGATAGATGTCCTAATTGCAGCAAACACCACCACCAATCAAATGAGTCAAACAGTCTCCTACTGTGTTGTGCATTTTGTATAGTTTTATGTTGAGCTCACTGAAGATAGATCAGTAATTGGTGTGTGAATAAGTCCTGGGTTTTGACCTGCCAATGGTGGAAGACTGACAGGGAAAAAGCCTGTCCCTGTGTGTGTGTCCTCAGATCCGTCTCAAAACCAAAGGAGTCAATGGCTGGTACAAACGCTTTGATTGTATAGAGAGGGGAACCGGGAATTGGGGCATCCTGTGTAACGTGGCCTCTGGAAGAAAGAAAAACAAACAGTGCAGTGAAACCATCTGTAACTATATAACATTACTATTATTATAATCTGTAACTGGTGTCTTTATTATATAATTAAATTCACATCAGTCTTTCATGAGAATCACTTTTGAAGCAAATGTCTAACATTATTGATCACTAAGGTTTCAAAGCAATCACATTTCTCATTCTGCTCGTATTACAGCAATCTCATGACCTGCAGTACAAAGTCTGGAGTTGCTGGTTTAAGTGGAAAACAAGGATCATAATCTAATGATGTATCCACATACCTCCGTCTAGCCAAGACTGTATAGACTGCTGAAACACAGTCTGCAGGTGCCTGCACCTCCACAAAGTAATAAGGTTCCATCAGACGAGGGGTGGCCTACAGACAAAATCTACTTTAGAGACAATCGGACCAATTATGATAGACACACAACAACGGTTTATATAGACATTTCATTAGACATTAACCCCAATGGCTAAATACGAACAGATTTGGTGACCAATTGGGCTGATTAATAAGGTCCATTTATTTGAAAATAATGTCTTTTGTTCACAAATGTATTCCCAGTATTGGCAATATACTGTTTAGAAAAAATACTTGATTTAGAATCCAGTTTATGTGCTGCCGTATACATTTTTCTAACACTAAATGGCATATCACTTCAAAATATCATCCAACATTCAAAATGGTGTTCCAAAATTGTCGCTTACCATCAGGAAAGCTGAATACACAACTCTTCGGGCTGTGGGAATAATCTGCCCTCCACCTCTGTGCAATGGTTCTTGAGCTATGACTGCATCAAGAATCTTGAACTTCACATTCCGAATCGCTGTTCAGAAAACAACAGAAATACTACAGCTTCAAGACTGGTTTATTCTGAGAAGTTAAACTATATTGTGAGAGTACAACCAGAACAGAGCCCTTTTTTGGCTTCAAATCTTTAGGACATTACAACAGAGCGGTGAAGATCTCAGTTGTAGAAGCATCTCCTAAGGTGCACTTTGCTGCAACCTCGGCAAATCATCTCACTTAATTGTTTCAGACAGCTCAGCGACTTAATTTGGCTGTAAATTCACTTTTACAACCAACTGGGTCACACCTAACACAAGACCTTATTAATGTTAAAAGTTCTGGTCCTCATGTATTGGGAGCCTGTTCTCAGAAAAGCCTAGGGAATTGTTTGGATGCTCCTCTTATCCTCTCAAATGAATTTGGGATTACCAAGAGACAAGGAAAAGAGCAAGTAAAGATATCACATTAATTGTAAAATAAACTAACATAGAAATGTCGCAGTAGATTAAATAAGGCAGAAAAAAACAAAAACTGAAGTTTGAATAATAACAATAAAAGAGAACAGAAGACAGCAAAGCGAAACTTGATCTTATGTCCGAATAATAAACCTGTGGAACAGGCTCCCTAGGGAGAAGGTTGAAGCAAGAAGTGTTGATTCCTTTGAAGATAGATTAGAGTTTTCTTTTAGGAAATAACATTATGGGGATATAGAACATAGAACATATCTAGAAAATAGATAGTTTGGGACATATGTGCAGACGACTGCAAGGAAGATGGAAGGCGAACTAGATGGTCTTTTTTTTTGCCTAGCACTTCTTATGTTCTTTTGACTCCTTGGTTAATACATACGTTCGTCGCAAAGTGGACCTTCTCGTGTCCCCCACTGGAATCCCTGTACAATGCTGTCCTTCACTGAACCCAGGAGAGCTTTGTCCACCTGTATGGCATAGGCAAGAGGCAAGAGTAGGTGAAATTCCGTCAATGTAATTTATTTCTTCCATTTACTTAAAGGAAAAACAAAAAACGCCTTTTAAAGAGATTAGGACTGGAATTAGGTCAAATTCTAACTTTTGAGTTAACAAGTCTACTTTCTTCATCCGTAACTGTTGGTACAGTGCCCTGCTTGCATATTACCAAAAATTTGGTAATAATAAAAATTTGGCGTCAATGAAGTCGTTGACGCTGGTTTCAAGAACCATAGAGAGTAACATGACACAGGGCCATTTTCAGGAAGAATTTGGGATTGAATCAAATTGTAATTCTTAAAAAAAAATTTGAGAAGGTTCAGATATATTTGTGAAATTCCATTAACATTTGGATTGCTTAAACTGTAGTGATAAGTCGAGGACCACAGGTAGATGGAGCTATAACATAAAGCGATTGGAGGGGGAAAAAAGATTCTCTGATATGAAATAGTTCCATGGGATCATTAATCTTAAGACTTCCAAAACATACAGGTTTCGATAAAACATCTCATTAAAAGGACGACTCTGTTTGTCAAGGCAATTCATCTTTCAGTACTACACTGGACCATCAGTGTAGATTCTGTGATCAGAACTCAGTGAGGCTCCAACACACAATATTCTGAGTTGAGGTGAGAATGCTACCAACTGAGTCAAACTAACAAACAAGAGGTGAAGAGGTGTCAAGATACATGGGGTAAACATTTAGTCATTAGAAATAAGAATGTCAATCTGATTATTGTGGAATATTGCCAAATAAAAGCTGTCAATGTGGATAAAAAAAGCTTAGACCCAGGCCTGCATAACAGTAATGACTATGTCACAGCAGATTGAATCAGGATCAAATTGGGATTCTGGTCTATGGCTTACAGCTAACGTGAAGCAAAAAATAATTGAGTCCTGAAGAACGCAGTTTACTAAGAAACGGTGTGCTGTTTGCAGGGTTATCTTATTAAATCCAGATAAAAAGTCAATCTAAAGAATTCAGTTTCATAGAAGATTAAATTATTCAGGTCCTAACTAAACATTTTTTTCTCACCAAAGCGAATAGTGCTAGAAAACAGTGACATTTGAGGACACTGCTTGATGGCTTTACACTGCAACACTGTGATAAGCCCCACCTCTTCCCCTGGTAGATAATTGAGTAGCTTTATTGTGTCCTGATGAACACGGACTTTACTGAGATATATGTAGAACTTTCCCTGCTATAACGTTCTTCTCAAAATGAAGCAGCTCGTTGCACTGTTTCTGACACATTAGACGCTGCTGCGTTAAAGCAGTTGCACGTTTTGGGGACACACCTACCTCTGACGGCAAAGTATCATCGACCAAAATGTTGGGGCCGGTAGCATCTGGTCCGAAAGCCCAAATGGAACGAGCGGCCAACAAATCCCAATCGTACTTGGTCTGGAAGAATTCACCCAGTTTCTTCCTATAGTTCAGGAGGCAAAGGGTTGCAGTGAATTGAATGAACTTAGCCAGATTATCCACATTAATGCACATACAACAATTTTGCTTCATGTGAAATAAGACAACTGTATCAGAGGAACAAAGCAAACAGCATTATAATGTTCCAACAAACTAATGCCTCCGATAGTAGAGCAGAGAGGTCGGGCGAGCAAAAGAAGCAAATTCCACTACAGCATTTCTCATACCTGTTCCAGGTGATTTGGACCACTTCGTTCTCAATGTCTTCTGCCAAACCTTTTTCCAAAGGTTCTGCAATCATAGTGATTTTATTCCTAAAGAATAAAAGTAAATGATCAGACATTTTGTATCAGTCACAGGAATTGGATGAGGGTACTCCTTATGCTATATACACCAAAAATTTAACGGAAAATGAATGCACATCATTTGCAAACTGTCATTAATTTATATCTTGTGTCAGTTAATGCACCGCATCAATTCATTCCAGGTACTAACTTTTTGTTGGGCGTCTCTGCAAAACATTTCAGAGATGAGGTTTCCACAACAGTTTCACAGAAGGTTACAACCGGGTCTGCCACCTGTAACAGAAACATAAGTAAATTGCTGAGCTGTTAAATCAGAAAAACTAGTTTACCCAAGGTGTTTCTATCGACATCATTAACTGTTGGCATTCGTACATTAGCTGTGAAGATAGAGCGAAGTTTCTCTGTGTTACCTTGATATCTATTTCTGAATACATCTTCCGAAGGTCATGCATCACACAGTCCAGATAGAGTTCTCCTGTTCCTAGAATCACGTGCTCACCAGACTCTTCTACCTGCATCAGACAACCACCAAAAGCTGGTTAGTTAATTAATTATCGCTAAACAGCAGCCTAAAGATTCAGAGGGACAAGAGTGCAGAACTGCAAGTAACTTTTCTTTTTAAAAACAGCAAAACAACTAGATTACGCAAAGAATTTTGAGAAATATTCAATTGCCATCATTTCACACATTGTGCGAATGTTTTAGGTGACATGAACATTTCAGAGATAAAGATATGACAGCAACAAAAAAAAGGCTAAAAATATATTCAGTGATACAACTTTGTCAAGCTATGTCACGGAAGGAATATCACCTCCATGCAATAGTTCATATGAAGGAAAACTGTTGGATGTACAAGGCATTCATCCAAAGCAGTACGGATTTAAAATGGCCTTATAAGGGAGAGCCCCATTAACTGGCAAGTGTTGATTTCATTTCATAACCGTTTCCCTTACCAATAAACAATGCGCCAAATTAAACGGTTATTCAGTTTAAACAGGTTAATAAAGTATAATTTAGTTTAGACGGTTAGTTTAGACCCACGAACAGCATATTGTGTTATTCTTAAATACTGTAGCTGCATCCATACCTTAGTAGTTAGTGAAGGGTAGCTTTTGTTGACCTTTCGTAAACCATCCAACATTTTTGGAAGCTCAGATGGATTGACAGGCTCCACAGCTATTTTAATGACGGACGCTGTATTGAACTTTAAAGGCCTGAAGATTTGAGCCTGAAAATAGAAACCAAACAATGAAGATGGATACGTTACAGTTTGCATTGGGTGTTTCTAACCCACATTAAAATAGTAATTATATTTGGTCTCGCACTTTTCATGTGGGAGGCACCTCAAAGTATTTTTGTGTTTTGGAGATAGGACTTGAAGGACAGAAGCTCTCTCTCTCTCTGTCTCATGCACTCACCTTCTTACTCACTCTTTCCTTCACGCTTGCATGTCTTTTTGTGATTTTTGTGATTGGCTTTGAGCTCCATTGAACATTATAAGACATTATTAACTGTCAGTTTAGTAAAATGTTTACCTCATCATTGCCTCTTGGTTCTGTGATAGTGGCTGTCTTTACTATAGGTTGATCTACTCCTTCGATGAGCACCCAATTACCAGCAGGAACCCTGTTAACTTCTATATGATACCTCGAAGACAAACAAATATATTAACAGCATTAACACCATAAATGGAAATAACTACTGATGTGAATGATCAAGTAATAAAATTAGCTCTATTCATAAATATTATGTAGGTAAACATGAATCCACAAAATAAATCCGAAATAAATTTCTAGCTATATTGTTGTGATTAAATAGATCTGGTAATACACATTTTATTTCACAGTAAGGACCCAGCTTTACATGCATGATAAGGCTTAGACTGTGAGTTTGCTCTAAGGAATGGAAAGTCAGAGGAAAGTTAAATTATGTTGCTCTCTTTCACTTTTTTAGAAAGTGGTTTTGCAGTGTCATTAGCAAAACTGACTAGGTAACCTTTCAGTCAAGGTTCATTGCACAGCAGAAAGAAACCTTTGGGATTTTTTGAGTTGTTAAACAATAAAAATATATATTCAAAACTAGGTTCAGGCCTCAACATGTACCCTATAAATATCAAACACTGTGTCATTGAGTGATACGGGAGTAATGTTTCTTGAACATCAACTTATTTTCTGTGAATCTTTTAGTCAACCATAAATTGTCTCACGTCAGTGTGTGAATGAAAGATTAAATAAATAGTTCCCACTGTATGATTGTCAGAATTATCTATTAATGTACATTTTAACCATCGCATTTCAGTCTGTTCAGATTGCTGTATTATGAAGGTTTTGAATAAGACACCTTGCAACTGAAATCCACAGCCTGCCCACTGTACAGATCTGAGAATCCTCCTCATCCTCCAGGGTATAGTTCTCGCCAAGTACTTTCACTGGCTGCCCAGCATGAATAGTTCCACTGAGGACCCTTCCAAATGCGTGGAACTGTACTCCATCCTCAGTACTATACATCTTTGTGGTGTGACACATCAAAGGACCCTGCACAATCACAAGTAACAAGCGTTAAACCACAGGAGATTCTCAGAATTATTTTGAAATTATTTTGGTTTCTAGCCACAGTCTAACGTCAGGAATAAAATCATAATCCTCGCATTTGACATAATGCCTTATCAGGTCTTCGAAACGTCTCAAAACGCTTCACAGAATATACTGTAAAATGGATTGACTGTATATTTTGTGGGCGAAACACAGCAGCCAATTGCGCAGCAGCGTCCTACAAACAGTCGTGGATTGAGTTGACCAATTTAATATTATAATTTTCTTTTTGTAGGGAGTGATTATTACACCAGGAAAAATGATCCGCCAAATGACTAACAACTTACTGCCGGGTAAACAGAGGCATGTGGAGTAAGGAAACTTGCCTAAAGTTTCGCCCTACCCGGGAATCGTATCCAGGTCCTCACCGAATATTAGTTTACATTCTCTTTCTCTTTGACCGTGCCTTCAGCTCCCCTCTCGACTCTCTACTCCCTCCTCGCTCCCTCCCTTCCCTCCCCTCACCCTGACCATTTCCCCCTTGCTCGGGTCCTGACCCAACTGTACAGCGCCTTGGGACGTCCTCCCGATGTGAAAGGCTCTCTATAAATGGAATCTTGTTGTTGTTGTTGTTGTACATGCCAAGTGAAGGCAAAGAACGGCCATGGATAATTTTTAATCGTACGAGAGATGAAACACACCTGCAAAAATATTTTACTTACGTCAGGATCGCATTCCAGCATTGCCTCTCCAAGATCTACATCCAGGCTGCCCGTGTAAGTGTGCTCAATCTTACTCTTGCCACCATTATGTGGGGAGGGAATATGCTGCACACACATGTCCACCAGACCTGCAGCAAAATGGCATTGTGTACTGAGACTGATGGGCAGCAATAATAATAATAAACCTTGCATTTGATATAGCGCCTTACCACATCTTCGAGACACCTCAAAGCGCTTCCAGGATATACTGGAGAGTGAATTGACTGTATACTTTGTTGGGGAAACAAAGAGACTTAGAATATAGAATTCCTTACCACAAATGGTTTTTGAAACCAATTTCATAAAGGCATTGAAAAGCTAATGGATTGCAGCTTCAAGGATTTCCTTAGCAGAATATTTATAACTCAGATAAGCTAATGAAAATCTATTAGGTTTTTTTTGCTTCACGGGATTTACTGTAAAGGGCAGTAACTGTATGCTTTGTGACCAATACTGTTTTGACTTAAATTTGTAAAGACTGGATATATCTACTTTGGAAAATAATTGGATTATATTAACCTAACGAACATTTTGGGTTCACATTATTTTCTTTCACAAATGCTTCTGCCAAGGAAACCAATTATGAAGCCCGTGTAGTGTTTTGCTCTAAAAAAAAATCATAAAACCTCATGACTCATTTTTCCACAAGTTCAAGACAAAATGTAACAATCCTAACACTGTAGCCTTAAGGTAGCATTTAATTAGAACATGACTTGGGGAAAACATTACCATGTCTGTGGGTGACTTTGCTTCTTGAAATGATAAATATTTCCTGGCACATTCCTCAGCAAATGTTCTCGCCTCCTCTCCCAGATATTGACTAATTACATTTTCATGAGCAAAACAACAACTTGGATTGATAGAGCGCCCTTTATGTGGTGAGGAGTCACAGGAGAGCTTTACAGAAGCCAGCTCTCCTAATTTCTTTTGAGTCCGAAACATTAATATTGTTATGTGCTGGCCATGCAATATTCTTATCACAAAACGCTACAGGACTTTTAAATTGCTTTACATCTGACCAAATTTTCTTTACTCCCAACAGTAGCACCAATTTGATCTGCATCCTTCAATGATTGTCAATGGTACTTAAACAAAGCGTGATAGAACGCCTCTTTGTTCCAGTTTAAACTCTCAGTGGTTATTGTCAATTACCTGTGAAGTCTCCAAAAAATTTCTTGCAAACCAGTCGCAGCAAAGGTCTGATGTTGAGCTTTAATTCTTCCTTAGTTAAGTGGATTCCCAGCTCATCCAATGTGCGTGGCAGAGTAGTGTCTACATCACCCACCACCTGTGTATCACACGCAAGGCAATTCGCACATTTTTACAACAAACTCAATCGCCATTCGTAGAATTAATTTCTCCATTAAGTTCACAACATTCAATGGTTAAAAAACAAACACTTATGAATTTATCCCTCAATGGAAGTTCCCAAAGATTATAACCTTTCCTATTAGTAGGTTCAATTACAGTTCTGCCATACATACCTGAGAAAGGATCTTATAAACAGGTTCCAGGACAAACTCCACAAAACTTCTCTGCGAGTTGCTGGTCGGTGCCTTCTTTGTAAACTTCCGTCTAAAAGAGCATATATATATATGTATGTTTGAGGCTGTGAGCTTGAAATTGATATGTGGCCAATATCGTGAGTTTTCACTACATACAGTTGAATAGCATCATTACAACTTTTACACACTGTAAAAGTCAAAACATCTAAATTAAGTTTAGGTAAATTAAGTTCTCGCAGCTTCTCTGATAATAAAAAAAACTATTCCAACGTACATAAAGGGATTAAGGGATATGGGGATAGGGCGGATAAATAGAATTAGGTTAGAAGATCAGCCATGTTCTTATTAAATGGCGGGGCAGGCTCGAGGGGCCGAATAGCATACTCCTGCTCCTACGTCTTATGGTCTTATAGCCTGATCACAAATAGCTTGCAAAGACAAACACCAAGAGATGATTTGAGCTACTTTAGACTTACGTTTTTGGGTTGAAGTAAATGTCACCCCATAGTCGCTTTGCAAACTCCATATAGTTAATGTCCCCTGTTAAGAAAGTGGAGAACATTTTTCCAAAGGAATACTTTATTACATGTTTGAACAGGCAAGGAAAGTGCAAACAGAGCACAATTATAAATAGTTTTGATTTAATTTCCACTGAATGAGTCAGTAACAAGAGGGCATACACTAAGGATCATTACCGGATGACTAAAGGGGGGGGGGGGGGGGAAAGAGAAATTAGAATTAATAATAACAATTTTTGCATTTGATATGGAGCCTTATCACATAATTGAGATATCTCAAAGCGCTTCACAGGATATACCGCAAAGTGGATTGACTGTATATTTTGTGGGTGAAACAAAGAGACTTAGAATATAGAATTCCTTACCACAAATGGTTTTCAGAACCAATTTCATAACAGCATTGAAAAGCTAACTCAATAAATATTACAAAAAATATTAAAGGATATGGGAAAAAAACAAAGGAATTGGATTAGAAATCAAAACTGGTGTGGGACAAATTAGCCTTCTGCTCTTCTGTTCCCTTGACTTACAAATACATAAATTGGTCTCATTTTTAACTTACAAACTTTTGTCAAAAAGTGTGCACCAAATAGTCCACTATGTCTACAGACATGTAATTGTTTTACAAAGGAATTGTCTGTAAGTTAAAAGAGGGTCAACTGTGTTTTTGTCGGTTCTAATTACAAGTGATGCTCACCATATGTGTCTGCATAGATCTTGGCAAATGATCCCAGAGTGAAGCAGATGCTGTATTGAGAGCTAGCAAAGCAGACATTGCCCAATAGAGGAGACACAATCAAGTTTTCGTCCGTTGAATAGACACTGCAGAAAAAAAATTAAAATTTTAAAGCCTGCACTACCTTGTTCTATAGAACCCAAAACTCTTCACCAACAGACAGAACACAACCAATCTCCTCTTTGGGACATGACATGTATATGCGACTTCCAGGATGGTGGAAGGTGAACTGGATGGACCTCGGTATTCTTTAGTCTAGCAGTTCTTATAGTTGTTAGAGCTCTTTACATGCAGCTTATAAGACACATGTGAGGATGCATCACAGACTAGCTCACCCTCCATTCTCTTCTCTTCCTGTGGCTGCGTGTGTGGCATGGACTTGGTCCCTCTCCCCACAGCCCAGTTCAGGAGCATGACTTTTAGTGAATTACGTGCACAAATCCCCATTCAACAAATTACTGGAAATATATTACATAATATGTACACTGTAATCCTGAAGTAGTTCCATTTCAAAATTTTAACCCAGTTAAACTCAGTTAAGATTTAAAAAAGACCTAGACTATATGCAAAAAAAGTATGATGTTCATATTACTGAGCGATAAAGTAGGGCAACACTGCATACTTATAGAAAAAAAGGTTTTCAAAATACTTCAATACATTGAATGTAGAGATCCCTCTCAATATATCACAACTTACCTCAGTAACCCATTGACTTCATCCACGATGTGACGGAGTTTGTAATATGCGTCTGTTGGAGGTAGTTTCAGCTCCAGAATGAGCCTATCTATTTTATTGATGCAGACTGTGACAGCTAGTTTCTCCTGAACAGCATGTTTAATCAGCCTCTCAGTGTTCAGCATCACCTACAGTTGCACATAAACCAGCGTTAAAGAGGGTCTCTGTATAAAACTCACCATGTTCCTCAAGGTTATATTAAAAAAGCTCAAACAGACAGGAGAATAATAATTAAAATTGGCTACAATTTTTCAATCTTCGTTGGACCCAGGGGTGGTGCCAGAGGACTGGAGAGTGGCTAATGTTACTCCCCTGTACAAAAAGGGACAGAAGTACAAACCTGGGAACTACAGGCCAGTCAACCTAACATCAGTAGTGGGGAAACTCCTGGAGACTATAATCCGGGACAGAATAAATCTTCACTTAGAAGAATATGGGTTAATTAGGGACAAACAGCACGGATTTGTTAAAGGCAGATCTTGTCTAACAAATCTAATAGAATTTTTCGATGAGGTAACGGAGAGGGTGGATAAAGGTGGTGCAGTTGATGTAGTTTATATGAACTTTCAAAAGGCATTTGACAAAGTGCCACATGAAAGACTTGTAAGAAAAAATAGAAGCCCATGGTGTAAAAGGGACAGTGGCAGCGGATCCAGAACTGACTGGGAGACAGAAAGCAGAGAGTTGTGGTCAACGGCTACTTTTCTGACGGGAGGGAGGTGTACAGTGGAGTCCCCCAGGGATCTGGTATTAGGACAACTGCTCTTCTTAATATACATAAATGATCTGGACTTGGGTATAGTAAGTACCATTTCCAAGTTTGCGGACGAACACAGTTAGATAGGGGGTAAACAGTGAGAAGGATAGGAGCCAACTGCAGGAAGACATAGACAGAATGGTAAAATGGGCAGACACATGGCAGATGAATTTCAATGTGGAGAAATGCGAGGTAATGAATTTTGGAAGGAAGAATGAGGGGAGGCAATATAGGCGGTAATACAATCTTAAGGGGGGGGTAAAAGAACAGAGAGACCTGGGGGTTCAGGTAAATGAAGCCTTGAAGGTGGCAGGACAGGTAGATAAGGCTGTAAAAAAGGCATATGGGATATTAGGCTTTATGAATAGGGGCATAGAGTACAAGAGTCAGGAGATTATGATTAACCTATATAAACACTGGTTAGGCCTCAGTTAGAATACTGCGCCCAGTTCTGGGCACCACACTATAGGAAGGATGTTAAGGCATTGGAAATGGTGCAAGGTTCTCGTCCTCACTTTCAAGGCCATCCATGGCCTTGCCCCCTCCTACCTCTCTGACCTGCTGACTCCCTACCAACCTGCTCGCTCCCTCTGTTCAGCGGGCTCTGGCCTGCTCCATGTCTCCTGCCCGACCCGCCCTACCATCGGTGGCTGAGCTTTCAGCCTCTCTGTCCCCACACTCAGGAACTACATCCCACAGTCCCTTCGCCTCACTTCCTCCTTTTCCTCCTTCAAGACCCTCCTCTTTGATTGTGCCTTCGGTCGCCCTCCCACCTCTCTGCCTTCCCTCACCCCCAACCCTACCCCATCCCTCTCCCATGCTCGGGTCCTGACCCCTGACTGTCCAGTGCGTTGGGACATCCTCCCGATGTGAAAGGCGCTCTATAAGTGTCATTTTGTTGTTGTTGTAACCTTAACCTCAGAAATACCCATTTCCTTCCCTCAACGTTGCATTATCAGTTTATTTCCACTTGTATATGAATCTCGATGGGTAGTGTTATTGCCATATTATGAGAGGGTGTGGATTTGGGTTCATTATTCAAGACGACAAGAGAAAGAAATCATTGCAGGCTCTTAGAAAATCCCATTTCCTACAAAATAAATGTCAGATCAGAGCAGGAATATGACAGGCCTGGGAGTCAGCTATCTGCCTCAATTCTCAGCAAGTCACACTGGGAAACATTGCCTTCATTTTCAATAAGTTTGACATCTAAATACTCAGCATCGGAGACAAGTTTAGTTCAGAAATGTGCCCAATGCTATAAAAAAAACTCACCCCCTCTGCGGCATCAATGAATAACACCATGCCATCAGAGATGCGAAAACCTGCTGTCACTTCATCAGAAAAGTTTACGTGTCCTGGAAAGAACAAACAGATTTTTTTTTACGGTTCTGTGGAAACCTAGAAACAACTCCAGCAGTAGCAAGGTCATCTTGTATAACCCCACAATAATGAGCACTCGATTCTCAAAATTTCCTATTTACTCATTCGGTTACTTTCACAACATCTCAGGTTAGCTAGCTGATGGATGAATTTCATATGATTTGGCAACTCATCACGTGGCCACAGGATTTTACTGTAAAGTGCCTGCGTATTTGTAGGTGGAGCAAATTAAATGTTTATACAATCCAGGCATAGGGTTGGACTGATCAGCAAACAAAGGCTCAATATCAGGGCTACTTGGATATCATACGCATCCAAGAAGCAAATCATCGAAAAATTATCCAAATGTTTTGCGTATGCATAGATTGTAGAAGAGAGTTCAATTGTTGGTACCCTAAAGTAGATCAGGCTCATGTACAGAACAGTACAACTTGGGACATAAATAAACTATTAAGCATCTCTGAATGTATGGCTTGTCAACATTCATAGTACACACCTGGTGTATCCATGATGTTAAAGAGATAGGATTTGCCTTTGGAGTCTGGAAGCACCATCGTGACTGGTGTGCTCTTTATACCTACTCCTCGCTGAAAAACAAAGTTACAGGAATTAAATGAGGTATTTTCAAGAGCTCTGAATAGATCAAAACTTGTATGAACAACATAGCAATGCTTACCTCCTGTTCTGTGAAGAGGATATCAGTATAACGAAGCTGAAAATAAACAAATTATAATTATAAATCCTGCACTGATTATTAACGCAATTATATAATACCACGGGTATTTTGTAGAAGGAAAATTATATGATTTGAACTTAAATTTAATTAGCGGCATTTTAATTTAAAAAAATCCCAGTTCTGTAATTTTAGGCTCATGGCTTTTTCAAGCTGTAGTTACACCCCTGCACTAATGATCCAACAGCTTGTTAACATTCATTATACAAGCTTGTGTATTAATAGCCACAAGGGTGAGGTAATGAAGGCAACTGTCACTCACAAAGCTATAGACAAGCACGGGACAGTGCATTCAAGGATAGAAGAAATATGAACACAGAGAAGTGGATGAATGGTGGGAGGCATTTAGATAAATACTAATAAATAATCCCTTGTGGTAATTGAAGAGGGAATGAAGCCAGAGCAGTGAGCTAGATGTAGGGAAAAGCTAAAATCACTAAAGTACTCACATCACGGTCATCTTTTTTCCGAATCTCTGGATGCGTTTGTTCAATTAAGCAATCAACAAAATTTGTCTGAAACAAATATTTATATTAGAACGAATTTATATTTACACCGCTGAAATATTAAAGGCTCATCATATTAATGTACTTGCATCGACAACACATTTTACATCAATGACAATCATTATTAGTAATTAGAAATATTGCTTGCAATACACTGGGGCTCCGTTATACTTCAGTATACTGTGGCAATCTGCCAAAGACAAAGAAAACTCTTGATCAGGACCTAGGTGAACACTAAGTAAATTAAACCACCTCTACATGTTCACTACATACCTTGCCATGGTGTAAATGTCCACACAGAGTAATGTTCCGAATAAGCTCCGAATTATCCATTAAATCTGCCAAAAATCTGACAAGAAAACCAGGTGCAAAATGTTGGTTAATACAGTTTCTAATCTGAATATTTATCCTGAATATTAAAATATAAACAAATAATGCGGAACCGCAGGACATCCATTCCCACCAAATGGAGCTGGAGAGACTGGCTTCTCAACGACTCGATTTACGTAAAAGCTGAAAGGTGTTATAAAATGCACGTGCACAGTGAATATGCAAGTTCCAGGATTGAGCACCTCTGAGTTTTGGGTTTTAACACAGCAGTCAGTAGAATTTTACACAGATCAGATGAGAGAGTCTGAAGCCAGCTCTTAGCAGCTGTGGAAAAGTAAGTCCCAAACTGTCTGCAATTCAGTAAACAATTGGCAAGCTCAGTCACAGAAGATTGAGGATGAAATGGAAATATTAGGCACAGCATAGACAACTTTTTTAAGGTGTAAATTAAAATATATTTTCGGAAATGAACAAAGAGCCGCAATCAGCTATAGTGCTATACATGACCTGGAAGTGGAACCAAGTTCCAATCTATCTCACTTTCATGAAAACAAAATCTACCACCTGCCAAAGTACCTACAAACACTTTCACTTACTCCATATCATACACTGTGTCTGGTAATTCCTGCTCCATCAAAGTAAATTTCTTTTTCTTGACAGGTTTGATGATGGGTTCTGAAAATGTAAAGATCTTCTCATTAGAGAAACAGCAACAAACCAGACTTCAAAAGCACCTGAGTGGACAAAGGCTAAGGCAGAACAAAGTCATAATGTACCCGTCCAAACAGACATTATTATTTGTACTTATTAAAAGCGTGTCCTTTTTCATTGTTTTTTAAAATATTACAAACCCAAATACTAGCACAACCCAAAAACAACAAATTGGCTGACATGTGTCCCACAAAACACACACACAGTCACATCACTTTACAGTAAATGCTAGGAAGAACTTTGAGATGTCTCGACAGTGTGCAGGAATGAACCACTAGAAATTTGGAAACATGGAACTCACAAATCTCATACACGTCCTCACCTGTCAGTGGTTGTGTGTCTTCCTCTTGGACTATTGTTTCCACCTCAGGCCCATAGACCTCCTCTGCTGAAGGGTAATATTTTTTATCCTCATGAAGCACAACTTCCATTCCAACTTGATCATCATCCTGATCACCACCTTCATCATCATCGTCTTCATCGGCCTAACATAATCAAATCTTGCATTTAAAAGTCTTTTTTTTCACAAAATACCGATGCAACATATATCTCTTTCTTAACTAAACAAAAGGCAGAAAATTAAGGGAATACTTTTTTCTAATAAAACATTTTCTGCTCTCTGGTCGAAATACTTTTTTTTAGCTTTATCGTTTTCCTCAGTTGCTCTTTAATCTGAAACTCCAGTTTTCTTCAACAAATGGACTGAAAATAACTGAAAGTGTCTGAAATTGCTCAGGGCTTGAGAGGCCTCCCATTTATTTTATTTTCCACTTGGCTTGCATTCCTAAAAGTTCCCTGAGTTCCCAGCCCATCCAGGCTCCCTGAGCCAGGCTTTTTTTTGTTTAAAACATCTCTGCATACATAGCGAGACTGAATCAAAGCCTAATGTTTGAGCAACCAATCTACTCGAATGTCAAGAGTCTTTTTTTATGGCTACAATAGCCATATCCTACCGTAGTTGTAACATCAACAACAACAACAACAAGATTCCATTTATTGAGCGCCTTTCACGTCGGGAGGATGTCCCAAGGCGCTGTACAGTTGGGTCAGGACCCGAGCAGGGGGAAATGGTCAGGGTGAGGGGAGGGAAGGGAGGGAGCGAGGAGGGGGTAGAGAGTCGAGAGGGGAGCTGAAGGCACAGTCAAAGAGAAAGGTCTTGAGACCGGCCTTGAAGGAGGAAAGGGAGGAAGTGGCGAAGGCACTGGGGGATAGAGTTCCAGAGCCTCGGGGCTGAGAGGCTGAAGGTCCGGCCACCGATGGTAGGGCGGTTGGGGCGGGGGATGTGGAACAGACCGGAGCCAGAGGAATGGAGGGTACGGGCAGGTAGGTAGGGGGATAGTAGGTCGGAGAGGTAGGAGGGAGCGAGGCCGTGAATGGCCTTGTAGGTGAGGATGAGGATCTTGAATTCGATCCTCTGGGGGATGGGGAGCCAGTGGAGGCGAACGAGGGTGGGAGTGATGTGTTCCCGAAGCCTGGTGCGGGACAGTACACGAGCTGCAGAGTTCTGAATGACCTGCAGTGTGGAGGGAGGTGGCGGGAAGGCCGGCGAGGAGAGAGTTCCCATAGTCCAGCCTTGAGGTGATAGGTCTTTCAATTCGAATTCAAGATCCTCATCCTCACCTACAAGGCCATTCACGGCCTCGCTCCCTCCTATCTCTCCGACCTACTATCCCCCTACCTACCTGCCCGTACCCTCCGTTCCTCTGGCTCCGGTCTGTTCCACATCCCCCGCCCCAACCGCCCTACCATCGGTGGCCGGACCTTCAGCCTCTCAGCCCCGAGGCTCTGGAACTCTATCCCCCAGTGCCTTCGCCACTTCCTCCCTTTCCTCCTTCAAGGCCGGTCTCAAGACCTTTCTCTTTAACCGCGCCTTCAGCTCCCCTCTCGACTCTCTACCCCCTCCTCGCTCCCTCCCTTCCTTCCCCTCACCCTGACCAGTTCCCCCCTGCTCGGGTCCTGACCCAACTGTACAGCACCTTGGGACGTCCTCCCGACGTGAAAGGCGCTCAATAAATGGAATCTTGTTGTTGTTGTTGTTAATTAAATGCATCAGTTAGCAAGAATGTCAGCACAAATGTAATTAAACACAGCACACCCCTTTCACAACTATAAAGATCATAAGAAGTACAGAACAGAAAATAACAAGCAGAAATGTTCTCCAGCTGATATCAGGTATTAGAATTCGGAAATTATGGTGTATTTTTTTTACAGTCCAATTCAATGCAATGTAGGAAACATAAATTAGGCTTCTCACTCTATAATAATAATAATCCTTGCATTTGATATAGCGCTTTTTACGTCGGGAGGACGTTCCAAAGCGCTTCACAGAATATACTGTAAAGTGAATTGACTGTATATTTGTGGGCGAACGCGGCAGCCAATTGCGCACAGCAATGTCCCACAAACAGTCGTAGATTGAAAATGACCAATTTATTATTGTTTTGTTTTGGAGGGATTATTATTAGGCTCTGTGTGGAGTAAGGAAACTTGCCCAAGGTTTCGCCCTCTGCCTGGAACTGAACTCAGGTCTCTCACTTGCAAAGCGAGTGCTCTAACCACTGAGCTGCAGGACTCCTGTAGTAATATACTACATTATACTAGTAGTAATAGTATATTACTACATTATAGTTTGAATCTTACCTCATCCACATCATCATCTCGATCTATACCATCTTCCTCATCAGAGTCCAACTCTGGCCCAATGTAATTGCCAAATTCATCGTACAGGTCTGTATCCATGATGGAATTCTGCGAAAATGCAACAGACTAGTTATATTTAGGTCTCAAATTCTAAATATATTTCTAAAAATACTACAGTACTCTTTTTCAAAAGTATACTGCAAGCTAGAAATAGACTTTGGAACTTTGTGCCTCAATCCCACCACTCTGTCCCCGCTTCTACCTCTCAGCTCAGCTCCAGGGACCTCATTTACACCCCCCCCACCCCAGAACAGTCACAAATACACAAAACATAGATGTTACATATTAGTGACCATCATGTATCATACATTATCTCAAATTTAAGGAAAAAGGTGATTTGCTGAATCCAGGTTTCATTCCTGTGCAGAGTGGTGAGTGAGAGTGGGAGTGAGTAGAGTGGGTGGGAAGAAACCTTGTGCACATTACATCAGCAGAATGTCTCAGAGAGCTTCACAGTCAGTACTGGCAGTGGATTAACTGTATGTTGTAGGCAAACGCAGTAGCACAATCTCACACAGAAACAACCATAAATCGAGTGAGCGAGAGGAGAGAATTGGTCAAAAGCTGCTGTGTTTCGCCCACAGAACAGTCACTACAGTACACTTCAGTGTATCCTGTGAGGCGCTTTGAGGCACCTCGAAGATGTGATAAGGCGCCGGATCAAATGAAAGGGTTGTTGTTTGTTTGTAAGCTGAGCGGAGGGAGCGAACAGGGTGGTAGGGGGTTAGGAGCTTGAAGAGGTAGGTGAACACCAGGATTTTGAACTGTATCCTCTGTGTGATGGGAAGCCAGTGGAGTTGGGCAAGGATAGGGGTGATAGGGTTGCGGAGCCTAGTGCAGGAGAGGACACAGGCTGCAGAGTTCTGGATGATCTGCAGCCTGTGGAGGGAGGAGTTGGGGGGCCGACAAGCAATGAGTTTGCCTAGTCGAGCCTCGATGTAATGAAGGCGTGTATGAGGCTTTTGGAGGTCTGCGGTGGGAGACAGTGTCGGAGCCGGGCGATGTTGCGGAAGTGGGGGAAGGCAGAGTGGGTCATGGCGCAGATGTGGGGTAGAAAGTATAGTTGAGGGTCAAACAAGACCCCAAGATTTCAGACTGGCTTAGCAAGGTGGAGTCTGCAACCATGGATGATGATGCTGTCAACGCCTAGGGTGAGGAGGCGCTGACGGGAGCCAATCAGGAGAGCTTCGGTCTTGTTGACGTTCAACTGAAGAAAGTTAGCTCTCATTCAGGACTTGATGTTTGACAGACATTCTGTCAGCACAGCAGTGGTCCTGGAGTCAAGGGTGGAGGTAGAGAGGTAGAGTTGGGTGTCATCTGTGTACATGTGGAAGTTGACCCCATGTCTGCGGATGATGTCACCAAGAGGGAGCGTATAGATATTGAAAAGGAGGGGACCAAGGACAGAGCCCTGAGGAATGCCGCACGAGACAGTCCGGGGGCGGAGGAGAAGCCGTTTGAGGAGATGAAGTGCAGGCGGTGAAGAGAGACGGACACAAACAGACAGACAGAGAGAGAGAGAGAGACGGAGACACAGAGAGCCACAGACAGAGAGCCACAGACAGAGAGCCACAGACAGAGAGCCACAGACAGAGAGCCACAGACAGAGGGCCACAGACAGAGAGCCACAGACAGAGAGCCACAGACAGAGGGCCACAGACAGAGAGCCACAGACAGAGAGCCACAGACAGAGAGGCCACAGACAGAGAGCCACAGACAGAGAGAAAGAGACAGAGAGCCACAGACAGAGAGCCACAGACAGAGAGACAGAGAGAGAGACGGAGACACAGAGAGCCACAGACAGAGAGACAGACACAGACAGACAGAGAGACTATAACGTGTCTCTGCAGAGGCTCAGGCGGGGAGTCAGGTCTATAACGTCTCAGGTTCGAAGCGGAAACCCACCGCCCGCGGGAATCAACTCACATTTCGCTGCTTTTAATCCTTTTTTTTAAAAAAAAACAAACCAAAAAGAAACGAAATGAAGAGAGAAAAAAATAATCCCCGAGAAACACAAACCCCGATCTGCCGCCCTCCCGCTCGCAGCGCCGCTCGGCCAGGAAGGACCCCAACCCCTCCACCAACCGCGCGAACTAACAGCGTTTCTCATCTGTCCACGGCCCGCGCCTGTGATGGGAAAGGGAATTAAATGCAAACAAAATCAGTCATCCTACAAAAAAAAAATCGCTGCCACACATATCTTTCAAAAAATGTGATATTCAATCGACAACTCCGCACACGGGGTGTGTTCTCTTCTGTTCTGTTCATCGCAGACGTGCAGAAGAGTGGACCGCTACGAGTCGGGGGTCTTTCTCCACGTGGTGCGGGGCAGAGAGGACAATGTTACCATTGAGTGACACCTGATACTGGGGGGCAATGTGGGGGCAATGTGGGCAGAGTGGGGGGCAATGTGGGGGCAATGTGGGCAGAGTGGGGGCAATTGGGGGCAATGTGGGGGCAATGTGGGCAGAGTGGGGGGCAATGTGGGGGCAGTGGGGGGCAATGAGGGCAGACTGGGGGGCAATGAGGGAAGTCTGGGGGCAATGAGGGCAGTCTGGGGGCAATGAGGGAAGTCTGGGGGCAATTTGCGCAGACTGGGGGCAATGTGGGCAGACTGGGGAGTAATGTGGGCAGAGTGGGGGCAATGCGGGCAGACTGGGGGGCAATGTGGGCAGACTGGGGGGCAATTGGCAGATTTGGGGGCAGTGTGACCAATTTTGGGGTAATATGGACAGATTTGGGGGCAATGTGGGTAAATTTGGGGCAATGTAGCCAGATTGGGGGCAATGTAACCAGATCTGGGGGCAATAATAATAATAATGAGGGCAGATTTGGGGCAATGTGGGCAGATTTAGGGCAATGGGGGCAACTTGGGCAGATTTTGGGGCAATGTGGGCAGATTTAGGGCAATGGGGGCAACGTGGGTAGATTTTGGGGCAATGTGGCCAGATTTTGAGACGAATGTGGCCAGATTTGGGGTCAATGTGGACAGATTGGCGGGCAGTGTGGCCAGATTTGGGGACAATGTGGCCAGATTTGGGGACATTGTGGCCAGATTTGTGGCAATGCGGGCAGATTGGGGGGCAATGTGTGCAGATTTTGGGGCAATATGGGCAACTTTGGGGGCAATGTGGGAAGATTGGGGCAATGTGGCCAGATTTGGGGGTAACGTGAGCAGATTGGGGCATTGTAGTGTCTTGTAGCTCAATGGTTAGAGCACTTGCTTGATTCCCAAATTTTCATCATTTACACAATATTTTGTCGCAGAATTATTGTATTCAAATGAATTATTTCATGGCTTGAGGCATTTATTGATTTTAGATAGGGATTCCTTTTGTGAACTATCTAAAACCATTTCAACGCATTTCAATGCAATTCAAGGCACAGATGTGTTAGCGATGGGAATGAGTAGACAAACAATCTGGTAATATAAATTCGGGCAGTGCTGTGTGTGTGTTCGCAATCTGAATCGTCATTCTGAAGAGCCTTCAAACCTTGCCTAAAGCTTCACTTTCGATGCCAATTACATTTCTCGCTTGCTTAAATCACAATAAAAGGAATATTGATAAATCAGAAAACATGAGTCATGAAGATGAAAATACAAGTGGAACAACCAGACTTGAGAGTTCATCCAAAAATAAAGTATGCATTGTTGTCAGACCCACAATATAGAGGCTGATCGTGTGCCAGAGCTAATTTAACACGTACGTTGGAATAATAATTCAAATCAATTGAACGTTATGAGATCATGAGATTACAAGAGAGGTACAGATAGAAGCTCCTTTGGCTCATTTGATCTTGCACTTTCAAACGACTACCATACAGCAGCAAACCTCTGATAACTCATCACCCCAAGGGAAATAGCTCAAAAGACTGCTTATCAGAGTTGACTAGTTATCCAAAGTACAGTAACTCAAAAGCACAAAGCACTTGGAGAGCCGGGGTCTTGAGTGCGTAACTAGTTATGTGGCCTCTTCCTAACCGTTCCAGCTGATAATTATCCTCTGTGTGAAGAAATGCTTCCTTCTCCGATGTGCGTGAGCTTGTAGAGGTGTACAAAATGTTAAAGGGAATTGAAATGTTTTCGAATGTACTCAGAACAGGATGGCACACACACACAAACACAAAGAAAAACAATATGATGCTATGATGGGATAATTTTAGGGTGGGGTCTGTGCAGGGATGAAATTAAATGGGGCAAAAAGTGGGCAGATCGGGGGGCAATGTGGCCAGATTTGGGGGCAATGAGGGCAGATTTGGGGGCTGTGTGGGCAGATTTTGAAGCAATGTAGGCAGATTTGGGGCAATGTGGGAAGATTGGGGCAATGGGGCCAGATTGGGGCAATGTGGCCAGATTTGGGGCAATGTGGGCAGATTTGGGGGGAAACGTGAGCAGATTGGGGCATTGTAGTGTTGTAGCTCAATGGTTAGAGCACTCGCAAACGTTTGATTCCCAGTTTCCTAACTCCACACACCTCTGTTTTAAGTAGGAACCCTGCTGTGCGCAATTGGTTGCCGCGTTTCGCCCACAAAACATAGAGTCAGTCCACTTTACAGTATATTCCGTGAAGTGCTTTGAGACATCTCGAAGATGTGAGAAGGTGCTATATCAAATGCAAGGTTTAATATTAATGTGGACACGTTGGGGCAGTTTCTTTTTGTTCTGAAAAAAAAACAGCTTTGGATGAGTGCTTAATTTTTAAGTGTTTTAATTTGCAACTGCATTTTTTTNCCCTGTGAAAGACCTTTTCTTACAGTCACTGAAAAACACTAACCTAAATTGGGCCATTCTGCTACCATGCAAGCAATGTATAATACAGGGCAATTTTTTGGCCTAGTTGTTTGGTTGACCTTGGGCTACAAACATATTTTAATTTTAATTTCTGGAAACCCTGCTGCCACCTTACAGCCTGCGCTTCCCTTTGTCCCCACTGTGTGGAACTCCAGTGCACCACTGATGAACCACTGATGAGCAATTTGTGCAAGATTTGCCAAACGTGGCCGTAGTTTCAATAATAATATTAATGATGTTGATACTTATATAATCCTTCCATTTGATAATCCTTCATCCGAACCATCAAAGCGTCTCACAACATCAATACATTTTAAAGCACTTAACAAGGTTTCACTGTAAATAATAATTCTTGTATTTGGTAGAGTGCCTTAACACTATAATTATAAACGTCGAAAAGGTCCAAAGGACGCCTCAATGTACTTCACAGTATTTTACTGTGAAATGGAGTGAATGTGTATTTGTAGTCATATCAATCAGTTTAACGTCTCATCTGAAGGACGGCACCTCTAACAATGCAACATCCCGCCCAGTGCTTCCTTGGAGCATCATCTTAGACAACAAGTTCAAGTACCAACAATTGACTGCCACATTATGCCCACAAAATCCACTTTACAGTATATAATATTAATAGTAATAATCCTTGCATTTGATATAGCACCTTATCACGTCTTCAAGACATCTCAAAGCGCTTCACACAATATACTGCAGATTGACTGCATATTTTGTGGGCGAAACGAGGCAGCCAATTGCGCACAGCAGCGTCCCACAAACAGTTGTGGATTGAGTGACCAATTTTTTTTAAAAAAGAATTATTACCATCGGAAAAGCGATCCGCCAATCGACTAACACCCGGGTCCCTATTTACTGCTAGGTAAACAGGCATGTGGAGTGTGGAAATTTGCCCAACATTTCACCCTGCCGGGAATCAAACTCGGGTCTCTCGCTTGCAAGGCGAGTGGTCTAACCACTGAGCTGCGGGACTCCACAATCCAGTGAAACGCTTTGAGATGTCTCAACAATGTGATAAGGCCCTATATCAATTGCAACTATTATTATTCTGTGATGCGCTTTGATCTCATCCCTCCAGAACACCCACTCCATCACAGCTGCTTTTTAAATGCGGTAAATAAGGCTTTTAAATGGAAGGGAAGGATTAGAGTTAAAAAATAATTTAGCTTGTTCGTTATGTTCCAGCTATGCTTCCCTACTAAGGACCACATGCACGAGTGTAAAAAATAATCAGAGAATAGAAGACAAATTTTCATAATTTCACAATATTTTGGCACAGAAATATTATATTCAAATGAATTATTTCATGGCTTGAGGCATTTATTGATTTTAGATAGGGATTCCTTTTGTGAACTATCTAAAACCATTTCAATGCATTTCAATGCAATTCAAGGCACAGATGTGTTAGCGATGGGAATGAGTAGACAAACAATCTGGTAATATAAATTCGGGCAGTGCTGTGTGTGTGTTCGCAATCTGAATCGTCATTCTGAAGAGCCTTCAAACCTTGCCTAAAGCTTCACTTTCGATGCCAATTACATTTCTCGCTTGCTTAAATCACAATAAAAGGAATATTGATAAATCAGAAAACATGAGTCATGAAGATGAAAATACAAGTGGAACAACCAGACTTGAGAGTTCATCCAAAAATAAAGTATGCATTGTTGTCAGACCCACAATATAGAGGCTGATCGTGTGCCAGAGCTAATTTAACACGTACGTTGGAATAATAATTCAAATCAATTGAACGTTATGAGATCATGAGATTACAAGAGAGGTACAGATAGAAGCTCCTTTGGCTCATTTGATCTTGCACTTTCAAACGACTACCATACAGCAGCAAACCTCTGATAACTCATCACCCCAAGGGAAATAGCTCAAAAGACTGCTTATCAGAGTTGACTAGTTATCCAAAGTTCAGTAACTCAAAAGCACAAAGCACTTGGAGAGCCGGGGTCTTGAGTGCGTAACTAGTTATGTGGCATTAACCATTTATCCCGGGGGCGAGTTTTCAGAGTTTCACTCTATCGTGGTGTTGAGTTGTTTGTTAGAGTCCAGTGGTGCGGCCTCTATCAAACCTCTTCCTAACCGTTCCAGCTGATAATTATCCTCTGTGTGAAGAAATGCTTCCTTCTCCGATGTGCGTGAGCTTGTAGAGGTGTACAAAATGTTAAAGGGAATTGAAATGTTTTCGAATGTACTCAGAACAGGATGGCACACACACAAACACAAAGAAAAACAATATAATGCCATGATGGGATAATTTTAGGGTG